ATACGTATACATATATTTGTAGAAAAGCTCAAATACATCTCTTGTATTATGAAGATTTATACGGTTCATATATATATATATATATATATATATATATACATATACATATGTGTATTTATATATATATTTGTGTGTGTGTGTGTGTGTGTGTGCTCACACACACACACACACACACACACACACACACACACACACACACACACACACACACACACACACACACACACACACACATAAACAAACACATACACACACGCACACATATATAACTATATAATATATATATATATATATATATATATATATATATATATATATATATATATACGTATGCCCTATACATGCAGTTATCTTCTTCTATGGGCTCTGTTCCTGCATCTCTACAGGGTCACCGGTGTGGTGTCCGCATCTACTCATGGTTGTAGCTAGCATTTTTACTGCTGGATGCCCTTCCAGCCCCCAATCTTCCCCATTCATCCGGGCATGAGACACGAGACATTCCACAGGATTGTCAACTCCCATGGCTGGATTAAACTTAGCTCATACTGCATAATTAGTACAGCCGGACATCTATCCATAGCTTGTATTTTCGGCTTTCATATCTATCATAAACCTTATACATACAGATATACAAATGCAAATAAACAACCTATCTCAAATGTGAGTCATGGTGTAAATCGAGACACGGAAACATTAAAGAAATAAATAGGGCAAATTTGGCATTGAAGATCATGCAAAACATTTTTTTCGAATCAAGGTTTTTGTGAACAGTTACAAGCATAAGTATATCAACTAGCTTGCAACGGCTTAAAATATACCATATTTGCCGGCGCACGAAACGCATAAGATGCACCCCTATTTTACGAGGATATTTTGTAAAAAATAGATAGATGTTTTTTCTCTCAGATCAGATGGATGGTTGTTTAGATTTTGGCCAAGGGAATTGCTATAACGATGTGAAATTCGGATTTCTGGATGTGATGTTTTGTGTTACCGTGACAGGCCACCAGGAGGCGCACCGTCGTAGCACTTTTTTTTTTTTCTATATACTCATTGTAAACGGCTGACAGGCGAATGAGAGTTTAACATTCCTTACAAATTTATAGGAAGATTTTTCATATGGATATTGAGTAAATGCTTCTTAAAAGTAACGCAGTCGTTAAATAATGTAGGACATACATTATGGTTTATGCATGCTGGGGAACTTCCATCATAACAGCAGATGTATCGTAAGCATTTTTTCACAGGTTTGTGATAACAGACTGATAATTCAGTTTGTTTTGAATACTCTTATCATTAGTAACACATTTTACTGGAATAATATTGGTTATTTTCAATGATCCATTACTAGCAACAATATTAGTACCAGTCGAATTTACCAGTATGATCGTATGGCTCCCTAACCTACAGCGCTTGATCTCCCATCCGCATTTCGGCCGCATTAGACGAAGGGCGTTTGAATATGCGATGCGCCGGTAAGTACGGTAGTTTTATCATCAGTGCAGGCATTATTTTCGTTTTCAGTGTCTAATGAGATCCTTCAAAAAAAAAAAATCCAGAGTGCCAAAGATTCCACATAAATTTAGAATACATGTATATTTCAAAGTAAGTATTCTTATATCAATTATATATATATATTTCCTTTGATTCGATGATAAGCAAAGACGATAAATTGGCATTTTAGAGCAGGGGTGTAAAACACACGGCCCGTGCATCCGCTACATGTGCAAGGTCTGTAGAAATATAGAATTATATCAACATTTAGACCTTGCCTATTTGCGGCCGCGGCACGTTTGCTATTTAATTAAGCCGGTGCTTCGTGTTTTAAGAGTATCATTTACACCCATGGGTTTCTTTCTATCATTGTTTCTGCAGTGAATGAAATAGCCCTCCTACATTTTTCACGCCAACCATATTGCCGTTTCGTCGTCGACTCATCATTATCTGGCCCGAATACTAAGATGAAATGTGGCCGCTGGGCTAAACGAGTTTGACAGTCCTGTTCCAGAATTTTCCTCCAAAGAATCAGTATTGTTGATTATTCGAGGTAACACCGCATTTTACTCTAATGACCGTTACTAGAATGACCATTACTGTGATGCCCATTACTATAATGACTTAATATGATGATCACTCTTATATTTATCATAAATATAATGACCATTATTATGATGAATGCTAGACAAGATTTAATCACGCTTTTTGCAACCGTTTCTGTGAAAGAGGTATAACAGATGTTTTAAAGGAAGTTTTGAAGTTTTTAAGTTAAAAGTAGGCCTATACTCTTAGGACGGCTTTTCACTTGGCGTCATATGAGCTGAAAGTCACAGACGTGCGACTATGTTTGAGTTATTAAGATGAATAAGCTTGGTTTTTATCTTACAAAGAAAAAAAAGAGAGGGATAGAGATAGAGAAGAAGAAACTGCTATTTTCATATTATATGAAGTGAGAATTGATATTAAATTGTAATCCAATCATAAATTTCAGCAAACCTTCTTTTCTTTTTTCTAACAAAGACTGGAGTTCAATATCAGTATCATCTCAATATAAGGATAATTATATTTGAAAGTGCATGCTGGATTTATTACGTAACCGACCTAGTGTAATACAGATACAGGGAGCAACTTTCATGTGCAAATTAAGAACTGCATTTACATTTCACATGAGTGTCTAGAATATATAAAGTATTATGATAATGTGGATTTATGCACAACTATTCAGCATTATGAAAGCATATGATCCATAAACAATATTCCACATAAGTATTTGCAAAAAAAAAATGTACCTCTATAACTTACAGTCATATCTAATTCTGCAAATATATTGCTATCAGTTCACTGAATTTGTCAATCAATGTGTCTTTAAAGACTATTCATATTATATTACGGAAATAAGGATAATATGATTAGACTGGTGAAAATGATATCACTTAATAATTAAAGAAAATTCCTGTAGACTTTCTCACAAGGCCAAAGTAACATGGGTATAAGTAAACCACAACAAATGTTAAAAACAAGAAAAATATAAATAAGAAAGATAGCAAATGCAAGGCTAAACGGACAGAGATAGATTTCCTTTGGACAAATGAAAAGATTCCCAACATAAGATGTTGACTCAGAAAGATGTAGACTGAAAAATTATTAACCAGATTGCAAAATGGTGTCTTTCTCTCTCCCACTGGTTTGCCTGTAACATACAAAGAGTCTTTGCCACTTGAAATAAGAAAATAATAAACTTAAGCTATATTGGGGCAATTGTTAGCACAGGCAATTCAAACAAGCAGGCATGTAAGTGCTAAGAGCTGCAATGTAAATTTAATTTGTGGATTGCAAAGTTAAACCAAATTCGCTCTTCACGCATATGACAGTTTTTTTTTGTTTTGTTCTATGCGTTTTGAAATATATATATATTTATATATATATATATATATATATATATATATATATATATATATATATATATATATATATATATATATATTCGAGTGATGTGATGTCTAACACTTTAATAGACTCTGATATATGTTTGCCCTTTACGCATATATTACTAGAACCTGTTGAAACATTTCTGTTTGCAGCAACTTGGTAGGGTTTGATACACTCCGGCCAGCCAGTCAGGGCGATATATTTTTCAGATATAGTCACAGTCTCAGAATGAGATTTATATTTTCATTATTTACAAATCGCATCGTAAGTTTTGTTTTTGAAGGTGAATAAAATGTTTATGTGCCTTTAAAATAGTATATATGTATATGAATATATGTTCACTCTATATGGGTTAGTTTTGTCGTCTTCGGTGGGATGAATGTCTTCAAAATCATTCTCTATATATATGATATAACCTTACAAGCTCAAAAATATCAGAGGAAATTATGTGTATCTTGATTTGTTGATATACCTCTATCAATAAATCAAGTAGATGTCCGTGACCATTGGAATTACCCTGTTGTCTGATTTGGATGGGAACTGGCTCGCGGTGGATACAATAGGATCTAAAACCTTATGCAACTTCCACTTTTCATAAGAAAAACAATGTATGTAATGAGAAAAAAATATCTTTACTTAATCTAAGAACTTTACAGAATATTGGGAAGCGAAGAGTGGTGTGTATAAGCAGTATAAGTTGGAGAGTAAAGTACTTTTCTCATTGCATTTGAATCTTCCACAATGTTTTCCTTGTAATCAAAAATCATACCAGCATATTCAAACTTTAATGGTTTTCTATTGACTTTTCCATCTGAAATAAATAAAGATAACTTCTTTTCTCAATACATTGTATGTCAGTACAAACTTCGAATGATATTGTGTTTTGTAGCGACCGTGATGCAATGTATCAAGTGTTAGGGGTTTCAGGATGCTACAAAGAAGCCTTGTGTGAGTGTCAACTGTGCAGATATTTAGTTTCAAGGCTAAATGTGATATAAGGGTGAAAAGTAGGCTTATCAATGAATAGGTACGTCCTCTCCCCCCTCCCCTCTCTCTCTCTCTCTCTCTCTCTCTCAGTTAATATATTACCACTATCTCATCTGCTTACATCATCTCGCCTAACAAGTAGATCTACAGTCCATTATTGATAATTTAAAGAGGATACAATCATTAATTTCCAGATGAAAATTAAGATACATATTCAACTGCACTTGTTAATACAGGTATTTCTGTTCTAGATATATGAAGAAACATTATTATGGAAATATTACTACTCAATCAACAAATTCATCGATTTTTTTAGTAAATGTAGTATACTTTGGAGTTACAAATGTGCAAGAAACTACATATATATGAACACATACACACAAGCAGGCATATGCACGCGCACACGCACACGCACACGTACACGTACATGCACACGCACACACACACACACACACACACACACACACACATACACATACGCACACGCATGCACACACATACCACGCACACATTTAACGCCAAACACCATGTAAGAGGTTTTGTCCATGGCCTTCTTCCGCCAGGCCGCGGTGCCGGCGACTCAACGCTCACGCCCTGTAGGAGCACAGCGCCCAGACGAAGTAGCCGATGAGGAAAATCGTGAAAGCCGAGAACAAGAAGATTTTGCTGAAGACGTCGCAAATTCTCCGAGACGAGCGCTGGCCGTCGGAGGAAGAGGCGCCGTCCCTCGCCGTCGTGCCAGAGCTCCTCCCCAGAAAGTCTCCTGCTGGGGGCGAAAAGGTCGAGCGTCGTCTTCTGCCGGAGCCCGAGGAGGTCAGGTCCGAGGCGGGTCCGTTGGTGATCGTTCCTTGAGTTCCGAAGCGGAGGTTGAAGTCGCGCTCGAACTTCTCGAGTCTTTTCTCCCTGCCTCGGCCCGCGGCGGACGTCGAGGGCCCCGCTGCCCCCTGCGACACCTGCGGGAAGATCGACTTCACGGGAGGCAGCAGGTTGCGACCGAAGACCTGCATCGGGCGGACAGAAGCTGGAAGCCAAGATGAAGGGCGAATCAATACGTTAATGAAAAGTAAGTAAAGCAAGTATGAAAAAAAGGAAAATATACTGGCACGTTGAGATTGCTGTTCTTAGCTTCTAGATCCACCTGCTGATTGTTCTGAAGGTCATCTTCCTTCCTTTTTCCTCCAACTTCACCTGCAACTTCATTTTTACTCCAACTACACTACAACTTGACTGACAAGTTTCGGAATCGACAATATCGCTGGTCGAGCAAATATTTGGTAGCAGTTGACGGGACTGGCAATGCTTCTTGACAGTGCATTCTAGCATTCAACTCATGTCCTAGTTTCAGATTAGCATGAAGAGGTAACTTGAGATAAAGAATATACATTGTCACGCGAACAGGTATATTAACCAGGAAACAAATAAAGACAGTGTATTTGGTGAACAAGGTTGGACTATGAATGATACGCTTAGTTTAAAAGGCAATGGCAACCATCGTGTAGCTTGTTAGAGTCAATTTTGCTGAACGTCTAACTGAGTCTAATGATTATATGCTGAGATCAGCTGACAAGAAATCCTGATAATTGTCAAACCCAATAACCATTTTTTTTCTTGAATTAGGCGACCAAGTAAAAAATTATCATATCTCGTTGTTGGGGGAAATAGACTGAGTAACCCTAGCTTTACATTAACTGAACCTCGACTAATATCTTATTTGTCTTCACATCACCCATCTAAGAAAAACTATTCTCATAGTACACTCAATGGAAAAAAACGATATCATTATTAATAGAGATTTTACAATCCCATGTAATTACCTCTTTTGAGAAAAGGACAACTTTGATATTGCCAACACAGTGTACCTCAGTGGTTTTAATAAGCCGGAAGGACAAGCTTGACAAATTCCACTAGAAATCATTATTAATATGTGGTTTGTTACACTTACCTTCGTAGTGCTTCAGTGTCCTTAGTATTATTATTGATACCGTGTGTAAAAGAACAGTTAATAAAGTCGCTTAAACAAGAAACTGATATACAATGAATTGAGTCTTTTCGTCACGAATTGGCAGTCACAAGATAACCAAAACTGTAAACATTCCTTGCGGGGGAAAACTAGACATCTGTATCTTTCTGTTGTAGGATCTTTGGTATTTAAACTACACACACACGCAAACGCGCGCGCGCGGACACACACACACACACACACACACACACACACACACACACACACACACACACACACACACACACACTCACACACACACACACACTCACACGCACGCACAAAAAATATTAATGTATATATTATATATATAATAATAATTATCCTAATGATAACAATAATATTTATAATAATAATAATAGATAAACAAATAAACAGTGATAATAATGATAGCAAGAAAAATACTATTAAAACGGGAAGGCAAGCGCGACGCCAGGAAGGCCACCCGAGCTGAACTCACCGCTGGACGACGACGACGACCACGACCTTCCCACGTCGTCCTCGTCCCTCAGATGCTCGAGCACAGTCTGGATGACGATGATGACGAAGATGGTGACGATGCTCGACAGGAACCACACGTCGACGAGTTTCAGGTACGACGTCTTGGGCAGCGATGACGATGACTGGTTGAACAGGGAAGACAGGACGAGGAGCGACGTGAGGGACACCATGATGCGGTCCTGAGGGGGGGAGGAAGAGCAGGGGCGTCAGGGGGAGGGGGGAGGGGGGGAGGGGGCTGTTTGTCGTTTGTGGTCTTGGAGGCACGATTTCGGTTTTCTGTACTCTCTTTCTATCTATTTATATCTAACTTGATGTGTACTCATATATATATATATATATGTGTGTGTGTGTGTGTGTGTGTGTGTGTGTGTGTGTGTGAGTGTGTGTGTGAGTGAGTGAGTGAGTGAGTGAGTGTGTGCGTGCGTGCGTATGTGTGTGATAGAGAGAGTGCGCGGCCAGACGGCGACCTACATTAAAATCGTCCACTTTGAAGAAGAAGGTGAGGTAGGCGATGACGATCATGAGCGACGTGGGCAGGAAAGTGTTGATCATGTAGAAGCCGTAGAGTCGCCGGAAGTGGAACTCGACCTTAAGCGTCGAATACGTCGACAGCGCCTTATGCTTGAGCTCCGATGACGAGGAAGCTGACGGCGACATCGACGGCGGTGATGGCAATCCCTCGGGGTCGCGCGACGGAGACGAGGGAGAGGAGCAAGGATGAGCGCAAGGTGGAGCGAGAGTGGCGGAAGGTGGAGCGAAGGTGGTGGAGCGAGGGGCCAGAGTGGAGGAGATCGGGTCGAAGGCGTCACCCCCGTCCTCCATGTTGACGCCCGTGACCTCGTACTCCACCAGGATCTCCTTGCCGGAGTACCTCACGCCCTCGCCCTCGCTCCGGAGGACGAGGTAGTCGCGGGTGCCGGACGCCATCTGGAGGGTGGACGCTCATGAAAGAAGTGATGCGCAGTGAAAGAAGTGACTGCGCAGTAGAAGAAGTGACTGCGCAATGAAATAAGTAACCGTGTTTTGAAGTACGTAACTACGCAATGAAGGAAGTGCCTATGCAGTGATGAACAACTGTACAATAAAATTAGTAACTACGCAGTGAAATTAGCAGCTATACAGTGATATAAATAAAACTGCTCTATGAAATACGTAAATGTGCAGTTAAATAATGTAATACAGTAAAATAACTTAAATGATTTAATGCAATAAAACACATAAACATAATTATAATATCGTAAACTCTCTCTCTCTCTCTTTGGACTATTTACTGGATTAAATAATATATTTTGCGAAATTACTTTCAATTACCATCATTACCCAAAGTCGTTTCGTTTCAAATGTGCCTGATCCCCCCAATAAATGAAATGCATTCCTAATGAAACATATTTCGTAGGTTTATAGAAAATTTAGCTTGGTACGAATTGTCATGGCGGAAAAATGGCGGGAAAAAACGATCGTTGTTTCGGAACTTCAGTCTTGATGGCTTTAATTTAAAAAAGCAATACCACAGCGTAATATCATCATTCCCCCACACACACACACATACTCAAAAATCTACAAAAGATACACAGATCCGTATCATACAGAAATCAGGAGGAATCATACAGATACGAAAAGACCGATATATAAACCAATCAGAGTCAAAGCTCGACTCACCTTAAGGTTGATCGAACAGGTGTGTTTGTCGAAGGGATACATCATGAGGTCCAAGTCACAGTTGAAGGTAACGTTGTATTTTCGTGTCATACGGAGAGAATTTTTCAGGCCGCTGTACTCGAGATCTGGTGGAAAGAATGAAGGTAAATAAGGGAAATAAATAATAGTAAGGAGGAGGAGGAGGATAACAGTAAGGATAACGGTCGTGATGAGAATTATAATAATGATATTAATATTGATGATAACGATAATGATAATGATGATGGTGGTAATAATAAGAATAATGATAATGCTGGTAATAATAACAATAAGGATAATACTGGTAATAATAACAATAATGATAATAGTGATGATGATAATGATAATGATAACAAAAACAGTGATGGTAGTAAAGATGATAGGGATAATAATGATAATGGTAATGAGAATGATAATAATGATAATGGTAATGAGGGCAATAATGATTAGGGAAAAATTGATAATGAGCATAAAAGTATTGATAATGGTAATGATAATAATAAAAACAATGATAACGGTAATGAAAAACAATAATGACAATGACAATGATAACAATGGTAACAATAATAATAAAGGTAATGGTTAGGATCATAACATTAATGATACTGGTAATAATGGTCACGATGATTATAACAATAGTAATGATAATGGTAGTGATAATTATGATAATAATAATAATAATAATAATTCTGATAATAGGAATACAATAAGCTGAAAAACAAATCCTACGAACAGCACCTTGTAATTGTGTATGTGTGTGTGTGTGCGTGTGTGTGTGTGTGTGTGTGTGTGTGTGTGTGTGTGCGTGCGTGCGTGTGTGCATGTGTGTGATTCACCTTCGTAGGCGTGGGAGGAGCGCGAGAGGACCCCTTTGCTCTCTCTTCTCACCGTCACTCTTGCCTCCTCGTCTACTACTGTATGACTGTTGCCTTGGCCGTTCTCGAAAGTAACCTGCTCACAGGACACAGAAGAAGCAGAAAGAAGAAAGATATAATAAAAAGGCAGGCGAAGTAGATACTTAGGTCAGTAAATAGTCATGTACCATTTGATTTAAGACTACGAGCAAGAGATCTTATGATTATACAAAAAGAATGTCTACCTCGGGCGTCCAGTGCCTGTCGGGGCCTTCCTGCCGCACCAGGTTCAGGTTCTCGTCCCCGGCGAGGTTGTGGAAAATGAGCCTGGAGTCTCGCCAGGACATTCGCAAAGTGAACTCTATGGTGAACTCCATGTCCTTGGCGCTCAGGCTGGTGACGGCTGAGATGTCCATGAAGAGGTAGACGAACAGAGGCACGGTGGTGTTGGCGGCCGCGCCTCGCAAGGGCGCTGCCACTTCTCCGAGGTACAGCGCCTCGTCCTCCGTGAGAGGAACCGACGGCGGCGGAAGCGTGAATCGGTAGGACGGAGGGA